CTGTGTTGGTTCCCATCCCCACTTTCCCCTTCCCCCCAGTTGCATGTGGAAGGAGAAATGGCCCTTGTGAACCTAGGCTCACAGGCTTAACAGAACTTTTAATTTCAAAAGATGAGAACTCCTTCCTGATATTGATAACTCCAATAAAAGTTCTGGCAGTGCCCATTGTGGCCTAGGTTGGTCCACATATGCGCCCCTGAACCAGGAAAATATAATATTATCATTAGTCACCTGAACCATATGGGCTGACTGGAGCAGAGGAGGTTCTCCAAAGGGGATGAATACTGGGAAGGCCCAACAAAAGATATCCACTTTACTAACTATACAGAAAAATGATCTTAAGAGGAGCCATACAAATTAAAAATAAAACTGCACATAAAATATTTGCCTTTTGAGAGAAAGTTTAGAGAAAATAAAATTTCCCTACTTAAAAAAAAATTAGATATTGACTACAGAAAAGCACATGGTAATTTGAGCCATGAGACAGAGGAATAACAATAACATAAATACATTAACAGAAATGTTATCAAATTTATAGTTGAATTAATCCCATAACTAATTTTTGCAAATAGAGAATTAATACAAGGATGGGTCCTGTACCAGTGAACAGGCTGTTTCAAGCATCTTTAGATTGTTTCATTCTTAAATAACTGAAATCATGGTCTCATATAATTGTTATAATTATAAATTGGTCTCATCTAGTTGTCATGTAGTTCCCTAAAGTCCCTTAGTTTGAATTATTAAAACGTTTACCCTGATTTTGAGTGTTAGTTATTAGTCGCAGCCTCTGTTCTCCTCTTGCCTTTGTTTTTCCAGCTACCAGCATCCAGCAAGGGGTCAATCAGAAACGACAAGATTTGTTGATTATATAGCTGATGTCTCAGCTCCACCTAGTGGTCACAATTGGAATTAAGTTTGCTTTCCTTCAGAGGCAAATCTGCTGATTAAAAACAATGGAGCACAAGGAATATAATGAGCATAAATAAAAGTAAAAAATGGACTTCTAGCTGCTTCCCTATATCTACTTTATTCCAAACAAAGATGAAATTGAAAATTATACAAATGGAACTTTTAATATTTTCTTCCTTTTCCCCTTCCCCAGGATGTACTCCTCGGATTATATATGTCCCACTTTGGAGACCACTGACCTAGAGAAATCTTCACACATATGCCCCCAAAGATACATACAATAATATTAATTGAGGCAACTATTTTTAAAAGTGAAAAATTGAAGGCAACCTAAATGCCCATTAACAAGTAAATAGGTAAAATTTTAAATACTTATTCAATGGAATATATGTACTCAATGGAATACCCTAGAGCAGGTTAAAATAACTGGATTAGAGCTACCTGTATCATGATGGGTAAATCTGAAAAACATTGTTGAGGAAAACGGAAGCTGTAGCATGATATGTGTGTATGAGACCACATTAAAATGAGCACTTTAAAACATGTTAAACAATTCTATATATTACTTATGGATATATACATATACAAAAATAGTATTATGCATTCATGGCAAACAAAAACACAAAGTCAGGACAATGGTTACTCTGTAAAGGGAAGGAGAGAATTGGGATTGAGAAGGGCTCTGCAGCAAATGTGGTAAAGTGCTAAGATTTGACACATCTTAGAGGTGGGTACTATGTTAGATATATATTATTCTGAGTGCCTTTCTATGTGCTTAAATTATCGTGTAATATTAAAATATTCAATAAAACAGATTAAAAAAATGAGTTATCCCAAAGAAGATATGGGAAGAAAACTAGAAGGAAAAAGCCAAACTTATTTTATATCTACTCTATACCAGAGCAAACCCTGTAGGAAATGTGGTGATATAGGATCATCTACATGAATACTAAAATGACCAAGAATTATGATAGGCATACCATTGGAGAGAATGAGCAAGAGCTAAAATCTTCAAAAAATAACGGAGAGTGACCTTGGGGGTATGTAGACGACAGTAGATGCTGTGTGGTATGTGCCGATAACAAGCTGAGGGTTTTTAGGGAGGAGAGAGGGACAGGATTGTCTGGAAGGAACAAAAAGGACAAGGAGCATACTTACTCCATGACAAGGATCAGTGGGAGGAGGGGTGCAGAGGGAACAGGGTCCTAGGGGAGAGCCATGTTTCCTTTAGAACAAGAAAGTTCAGGGACCATTCAGAGAAGAGGATGAAGATACAGTGGATTTTGCTGATGATTGACCATGAGTTCTAGAGGGCTCTCAATAAATGAGTAAGTATCAATGGGTTAATGAAAAGTGAGAATTAAAATGTCTCTAATGATGGGTAATCCCTACATAAAACATAAAGTGCTACATAAATATAGGGCATCATTACTACCCCCTTTAACTCCCTCCATGGAGGAAACTTCATTCTGCTTTCATGGCTTTCTTTACATTAATTTGTACTTTCTAAATTGACAATATTCTTTTTCGGCCTCATTAATTTTTTTCCCTTATGGTTCCTCTTACATTCCCTACACCTTTTTTTTTTAATCTGTTTGGGGAGAGGAGAGACAAGCTCTCCTTTTAAGCAAAACACTCTAATTGCATACTCTCCTATTATTCTGTCTGCCTTAAACACAAATATAATGATGGCAGGAATTTTACAGTTGGAAGAGAACTTAATGTAATGCAATCTTCTCATTTTACAACTGACCAGAGATTATGTGGTTTGCCAAATTTAATTGGCTGGTTACTAGCAGAACCAGGATTAGAATCCATGCCTCTTATTCATCTTCCTTTTGTTTTTCTTCGAACAGCAAAAACATAGAAAGCACCTCCTAAAGGGGCACTGTATGCTGTGGTTGAGGGCAGGCTCTGATGTCAGTCTACCCAAATTCAAACCTAAATCTGCCACTTATTAGCTGTGTGACCTTGGCCAAGTAATCTACTTTGTGCCTCAGTTTCCTCATCTACAAAATGGAAGGCATAATCATATCTACTTCATAGAGTTGTTATAAGGATGAAATGAATTAATGTACTTAAAGCACATAACAGTGCTTGGCACATAAAGAGTGACCAGAAAGCTAAGCTATTGTAACTATTGAGCACACACTGCTAGCTGCTGATATAACAGAAATTAATGCAGGTTGGGATTTTACACACAGGTGTTTAAGAAACCAAATCAAAACAAAACAAAACCACACTTGAAATTATGTTTACAAATCTGGATATTTCACATAAAGATCTAAATTTCCAGTTTCTCTTGAAATTCGGAAGTTCTGACATCTAGGCCAGAATTCTGATGCAGTAACAGTTGGCTGGAGCTAAAAGCAGCTGTCCCATCTAGTCCACACCACTCACACCCTTCCAGTTTCTATCTTTTAACTTTACCTGCCTGACTACTTCATGCCTTTCAAATGACATCCCAGACTAAGACAAGCTCTCAAGGAACTAACAATCCAATAGGTGAAATGCATGTGCTAAACAATTCACAATACATTGTGATAGAAACAAGGACAAAATTGCGAAGTACAAAGTATAGCAGTAGCCTTAAAGAACATGAGTGTGTACTGAATGGTGGAGATACTGCTGGTGATGTATGTTGTTAAGGAAGTGGATTTGATGGAGCAGCCAGTTAGCTCAGTTGGTTAGAGCGCAGTGCTCATAACACCAAGGTTGCTGGTTCGATCCCCACATGGGCCACTGACTTGCACCTGCACCCTCCACAACTAGATTGAAACAACTACTTGACTTGGAGCTGATGGGTCCTGGAAAAACACACTGTTCCCCAATAATTTTTTTTAAAGTGGCTTTGAAACAGAAAAGGAGAGGAAGAGGGTTAGAGAGAATAGGGAATGCAAAGACATTGAAGTGGGAAAGAGTTTGTGTGTTTAGCAACTGGGGAGTTCAATTTTGAAGAATATAGTAAGAAGGGAAGAAGTAGGCTGACACTAGATAACAAAAATCCCTTAGCTTGGATCTTTCCCTATTGGAGATGGATAGCCCTTGAAATGTTTTCTGTCACTAAATTCTAAATCTAACTTTAATGCAATTATGCCTGGATACCCTTATCATCCTCTGTCAAATGTCTTTGGACCTTGTGTTTGAGAAAGAAATGCTATACAACCCACAATATTCTATGAAATATCTTTCAATAGCAAATTGTCACTTCAAGAATCCCTGTCTTTATAGTGGATAAAATACAGGCAAATGAAGTTTCCTCATCTGTCAATGGGGATAATAATAGCACCTACCTCGGGGCTACTAAATTGAGAATTATACTTGATATAACCCATGTAAAGAAGTTACCAGAACACCTGACACAGTATAAAAGTGGTCAATGAGTTATTATGATTGATATTTATTGAGTCTTCCTTGTCTCTTATTCTGCTCATTGAGAAAACATAACGTTTCATCAAGTCAAATATGTATTTTTCATTGAAAACTGAAGTTAAATCAAGACTGGTGGCATCTTCGGGCTGCATTTGGTATAAATGCAGGATGAAATGCCAAGGTAACATTTCCTTGTATATTATTGCTTGCAAAAGTTTCAAGAATAATGTAGAGATTTTGTGCAACATAGAAAGTGCAAGTTATCGCCTGCAGTTACGAATTCAATATAATAGTTTATTGGTAATAAAGGTGCTTAGGTAGTAGAGACGTTTCTCCAGTTCCCCTAGGCTCAAAGGGGAGGAAAAACACTGGGCAAAAGACCTTTTCACACCTGACAGTAACATCTTGGATAGCCAGGGAACTCAGACAATCACTTGGCGGGAAAAGAATAAACACAGACTAAATTTGCACAATCTGTTTCTGTTTAGTTTATAAACTGAGATCGAGTCTGTCAGGTTTCGTGCCTTGTGGGACTTGAAGTCCAGAAGGAAGAAGTAATCAGGGCTGCAGAAGCTTGGAAGTCAGCAGCCCCTGCAGGTCTGAGCGATAAAGACTACAACTCCCGACAGACACCGCAAGGCAGCGCCGTAATCACGGGCAAGCAACCTTACCCGAACATGGCAAGCCCCGCCCCCCCGGCTCGGAGGACTACCTCCACCAATGGCAGAGCTCCCAGGGCAGAGCCTGAGGGTTAGGTTGTGAGGCTCCTGCCGGAGGCGGGGAGGAGCCGAGAGGTTCAGAACGAGCTCGGCCGCTGGGTGGGTCGGGGCGTTCCGCGCGCCCTTCATTGAAGCGGCGGCGGCTGGGCTGGGCGCCGGCAGTGGGAAGCGACGGCGCGGCTGGAAAATGCCAGTCCATTCCCGAGGAGATAAGAAGGAGACGAACCATCACGATGAGATGGAGGTGGACTACGCCGAAAATGAGGGGAGCAGCTCCGAGGACGAGGACACGGAGAGCTCGTCGGTCTCCGAGGATGGAGATAGCTCAGGTGTGCAACCCAGCGCGGCTGGGACCCCGAGTCCTCGCGCCCGGCTCGCGACAGGCCGCTTTCCGCACGCCGGGCAGCTGCGTCCTGCTGGGAGAGCGGGGCGGGGAGAGGGAAGGGGCGGGGACTGGCTCCCGGCCCTCGGCAGCACCCGGACTGTCGCGGGGCGATGCCTGGCTCCAGGCGGGTCCCCACTTGGCGGGGCGGGGCGGGGCAGGACGCGGGCCTGGGCTTGCCCAGCTCCCGGTCGCTGCGCTGCCCTGCTCGCGGTCGGACCCGTCCTTGGGACCTCCAGGCAGTGCCTGGGGCTATCCAGGCACGCGGGGAATGCCCCGCGGATTGTCTGGGAAGACCCTGGAAATAGCTCCTCACCCCAAACCAAAGCCCTGTTTCCTTACTTTTCACCTTTGCAACCCTTACTTCTCAACATGGGTGGGTTTTCTGGGCCGAATCTAGATTTGTACCGAATCTTGGCAGGCTTAGAATTTAGTAACCTGAGCTTCCACGTCAGCCGTCAATCAGCGCTAGACATCAATCAGTGCTCTTGTAGGTGCTGACTTGGGAGCTGTCCTGTTGACAGCATCTCTAAAGTTTTAAAAACTGAGAAGAGCCCAGCATCAGGTGTGATTTTGGATCTTCATATGCTAATAAATTGGCTAATTTTTGGCAGCTTGGAAATTCTCCAAATCTTTTTTTCCTTGCAATCTTTTCTAACTTTGGGCTGTTTCAGGTGGTGGGGTTTTTTGTTTGTTTGTTTTTGTTTTCTGCCTGGGGTTGAAGGGAGGGGGCAGATTAACATCACAAATCAATTTTGCAAACTTTTAGGAAGCGTTATTAAAAAAAGAAATGGAATTGTTATTACCTGGATTCTGTCCCTTCTTTACATTATGATGAGGATGAGACTTCCTCTTTTTTCTTGGCCTGATTTTGGCCATGTAAAGCAAGGATTAATAACAGTCTGTTATCACCCCATGCCCTCTTTTTAGGTTTCCTTTTCAATGTAAATCTCTATGGAAGTATGTAATTTCAATCAAATTAACCACCCAAATATAAGTATTTATGGGTAACTTCCTTTTGCAGCATGGAGCACTACTCAATGTGAGGTACAAATAAATAGTTATGATCAGATTTCAAATAAATAGTTTTCATAAGTCACCACTTGGTTAAATTGCCAAATGAATGCTTCACTATAAACAATGCTGTAGGAATTCAGAGGCAGAGGAAATATTTTCAGAATAGGATGGTCAGCAAAGGCTAGTTGAAGAAGGTGGGATTACCTTATTTTGAAGAATGAGTAGAATTTGGGTTGGAGTAGTAATGGTCAGGTGTTTCTAAAAAGGGAGGAATGTAGGGCTGGCTGAGTGGTTCAGTTGGTTAAGAGTTCGCTCTAGAGTTTGAACTCTGAGCAACAGCGGTTCGAGTCCCGGCCCGAGCTGAGCAGCCGCTGAGCTGCCAACAGGTAGCAGGATGGCTCAGCTAAAATAAATAAATAAATAAATAAATAAATAAATAAATAAAAAAAAAGGGAGGAATGTAAGAAAACCTACAGGGCCAGCTGAGTGGCGCGTTGGTTAAGAGTTGGCTTGGGACGCCAGCTCTGAGCAGCAGGGCCGCAGTTTGGATCCCACATGAGGGCCAATGATGCTGTGCCCTCTACAGCTAAGATGGTGAACAACGGTTCAACCTGGAGCTGAGCTGCCTTGAGCTGGTGACGGCGTAGGCTGCAGTGGGGCTGGCTGGCAGCAGGAGTGAGCTTTTGTGAGCCACCGTGAATGGTTGTCCAATGGCCGGCGAGTGACTGCCTCACCCAGGAAGAGCGCAATGATAACACCAACATGGGCCAGTGAAGCAACGTCCTCCACAACTATACTGAAGAACAAAAGGACAGCAGCTTGTCTATTCCCCTTCCCTGATTCCCCAATAAAATCTTAAAAAAAAAAAAAAAAAAGAAAGAAAAACTACAAAGGCCAGAGCTTAAGGAGTAATCAAAAGAGTGAGAAAAACAGATTGCTTAGGAGAAAGATTTGAGCTAGAAAAGGAAAAGGAAGGTATAGATGTGAAAGATTTCCAAAAAAAAGCATAAAACAGGATTGATGAATGCAACTTTAGGAGTGAAGGTAAGAGGAAAAATCCAGATAGATGCAAGGAAACTAGGGTAGGATGAACAGAAATAGAAAAATAAAAGATTTGAGATGAAGATGGAAAACAGTATTTCAGACTTGTTGCTTTTGAGGTGATAGTAGTATATTTAAGTTGGAGTGCCCAACTGACAGGTGGAAACATAGCATTGGAACCTGCCTGGGATAGGAAACATAATTTGGAAGCCATCTGGCAAACCATGAAAGTAGGTGAGATTTCAAAATTGAAGAATACAGAGAAAAAAATGTATGTGAATACATTTCCTGGTGCTATAAAACATTTTATCTTCAAGTGACTTTTTTTTATGTGAGTTAGGATCTCACTAAGTGACAATTTATTTGTTAAGATTCTCCCTCTCTAATTTTTATGTTGAGTGTTGTGATTTTTTCCCACTGGTTTTTATTCCATATCCCAAAAGCATGAACAACTTAATTTGTGAAGAATGTAATGATAATTTGAACTATAAGGCATATTTTTTAAGTGCAAAGAACTTTTCTAAATAAAATTTGCAGTTTTACTTGTAAAAGTATCTCTTTTCTATCATAGGTCTTGCTGTTCAACTTTCACAGTTTTATTCAACCTTGGTCTTAAAGCTACAAAAAAACTTCTACTATCCAGAGATACGGGGGAGTGAGTCATCTTGCGGGACCAAGTTTTAAACAGTCAAGGAGTAAGCTCTTAAGAGCCAGGAATAATTTAAATGTTTTAGAAAAGTTGAAAAAGAGAATCATATACTTCCTTGCTATATAAAAATAACGGAACATAATTTAACTCTTTCTCTAGCATGACCTTTATTTGATGACTATCAAGATGCAGATAATTTTACACTTTAGTTATTTTGATGTGTGGAATATATGCAATGTAAAAATAGAAGATATGGAATATAGGACAGACCTGGTAATTAACAGTTGCTTTTTTAACAAGTTTCCTTGTTTTTCTCCTCATTTTTCTCTTTCTCACTGGTGGACAATATTTGGGGAGAGGGAACAGTGAGAGTCTAAGAGTAGGAGATGAAGACATCCTGTGGTAAACGTAGTAGTTTTCTTTTTTATGTGGCTGGCAAATCAGCTATGTGAGCAGCTCTGAAAGAAGGATTCCAAAAGTGTTTTTGAACAATATTAGCCTGTAAAGGACATAATCATTTTGGTACTTAAGTTCTGGTGAATTGGTGGAAAACAAACCCAAAGTGGATTAATTACTTTGTAGTCATAGCTTAATGTCAGCCTTTTAAAATGGTTTAAAAGTGGATAAAAATAAGACAGTCTGGAGACTGCTGTAGTTTTTTTTT